TGGTTCATACCGTCAGTCCTTCTAAAGCAGAGAGTGCAGTTCTCTCTCTAAGTGACAGCATAGTTGAAATGCATCTGGACCTGCGAAGAACCAAGCGCAAGTCTGCTGCAGATACTTGTGCTGCCAAGAGTCCCTCACAGGGTTACCCAAATGCAAAAACACACAGCCTCAGTCCTGCCCACAACCAAGCTGTAAACGTAAATCTTATCCTTCAAATTGTGCTCAGCTCAGCGTGGCCATATTTCCAGTGCCAGGTGATTCTTGCCCTGTGTTCCCAATCAGCATAGACTCATACAGTCACTGCTTATGTCTGCCATCCTCATGTGTCATAAACCTTTTTGTTTGTTTAGTAAATAGTAAACACTCACTGGGGAAGTTGTGGCCTAATGGTTAGAGAGTCGGACTCGTAACCCAAAGTTTGCAGGTTCGAGTCTCGTACCGGCAGGGATTGTAGGTGGGGAGAGTGAATGTACAGTGCTCTCTTCCACCTTCAATACCACGACTGAGGTGCCCTTGAGCAAGGCACCGAGCCCCCAACTGCTCCCCGGGCGCCGCTGCAAAAAATGGCTGCCCACTGCTCCGGGTGTGTGTTCACGGTGTGTGTGTGTGTGCACTTTGGATGGGTTAAATGCAGAGCACTAATTCTGAGTATGGGTCACCATACTTGGCCACATGTCACGTCACTTTCACTTTTTTGCTCAGTACAGTTTAATAGTATCTGTGCAATCAAGTCGACGGTATCGCTGGAAATTAAGTGTCCCCAACTAAGCAAGCCAGAGGCGACAGCGGCAAGGAACCAAAAGGTTCCTGTGGTCTTGTCCCGGTGGCCGTCTAGGTGGCCGTCTAGGAGACAAGATCTTCACAGGGAATCTGTCTCTGGGGCTCATCTAGTTGACATGGTCTCCGCTGACATTCAGGGCTGTAGAGGTCCTCTCTAGGTGCTGATCCACCATCTGATCTGGATACAGACTGGATCTGGTGGCTACGGTGACCTCGGAATAAGAAAGAAACAGACTAATATTAGCGTAGATGCCATTCTTCTTATGATGTAACAAGTTCATCGGGTGTTATGAGAAGTGTTCCCGGTTCCGGTTGTCCTGATTAATGCAGCCTAACAATCCTTTAACGGATTTGAATATTAGAAATGTGTTAGTGTGTTATGTGTAAGCCAGGTTAAAGAGATAGCCAATGAGAGGCCAGACAATCTCAGATGGTTGTGTGAGTAATGTTCAGGAGTTAAAACTATAAAAAGGGGGAGCTAAGCACATATGGAGTATGGAAATCAATAAGATAAGCCATTCTAAAAAGAAAAGACATTGAAACTCAATGAATGTATCTTTACTGTATTTACCATATTTAATAGTGTTGCACGGACAGGTTTTACAGGAGTGTCATAAGTTAACTGTGTACCTTTTGACTCATACTAGGTACAGCCTAGTCAACACACATATGAAGATGTTCCTTTTCATAGGTTCACTTCAATGCTGCATCAGTTTCTAATGTCAAGTAACACCCACGGGTGGTACAACGGTCTGAAACCGGAGTAGACACGTCAGTTCATTGGCTGATGGTACTGACGACATTCCTCAGAGGGGAATCGTGTCACTAGCGCTACACAAGGAAGCACTCGTGCCATCACCCCTCAGATTTTTCTTCTGCAAGAAGAGATTTCTCTGGACTAATTCTTGCTTCAGTGACCGCTATTTAGTGGATTAACTTTTCATTGCAGGGAAGTGTGATGTGGTTAAACTTCAGGGCTAATTTCAGGGTTCCGTTCAAGGAGATATGCTTCACGAAGAAGCACATAATGATTTTATATGTGCAAATGACTTGCAATGAGAAGCATTTCTAAACCTGTTTTCCAACAAAAGAGAACATTATGATATGTTTTACTCCACAACATCAGTCAAATAACATCCTTTTGTGATCTGATGTGGCTTCATATCACATAATGAAGCAGAAAATATATTCTATTCTGTAAAAAAGGCTATGTCAATTAGTATTGGGTTATAAATATACTTAATTATTATGAAAATACCCGAGATGGCTTGAAAAACACAGACAAACTATATATTGTTGCAGTCAAGTGTTTATTTTCTTTGTTTCATAATTCAAAACATTTCTCTCTTTTTATTCAGTCATAGCGATAGCTGGATGTTTTTGTCCATATTACTTCTGTGATACATATGTGGAGTTTCTGCGCAAGGGCGCCCTCTGGCGTCCAGTATAAATGAAACAGACATTACATGTCTTTATATCACTCAATAATGGCCAATCCCACCCTATTGGTATGTCAGCATCAACACACTTTTCTTGATAATCTGCAAGGACTGGGACTGAAACTGAATTCCTGGAAGCTCTACTGCCGAGGCAGCAGACTGTGTTTCTAGCGGTAATGACTCAAACACTATGCAGGCACGGTTGTCTATTGTCCTGCACATGTCTGTAAATTTGGGTCTGTTTCACAGACTCTAGGGTCTTATGGCAGCCGCTTCACTGGTGATTCCGCTGGGCTTGTTTCATTTGAGATTAAGAACTGAAACTCGGGGGTTAATATATCTTGGTCTGCTCCCTGTAAAGTAAGCGCAGATTCATTTGGACACTCATCATACGGAAACAACCTCAGCTTCTAACTCGAGGTGTTTCTTTGGGCAGCATCTGATGCAGCAAAGTGATTATGCCAGGCACCTAACTGATCAGCAGGGTGCAGTCTACAAAGGCCATCAAACCTACACAGTCTGCAAAGACAAGCATCTCTCAAAGCACATAAATTGCCTGGAGATATTGGCAATCTAACTTGCATTAATCTGGTTTCTTCCAGACGCTCTCAACTGTCACATTATTTTTTAGGATGAACAGTATGACATATCATCCAGAAAAACCATCCAGGTGGGAGTGCATTTGGGTCATACAGTATGTGGGCACAAAACAAGTTTCTGTTGCTGAGAGCGGTGCACATCCCAGGTGCAGCCAATCTGGAAACAGATTTTCTCTCGAGGCACAGACTGAGGCCCAGAGAACGGAGGTTGCACTCTCAGAGCACAATTCTAATGCTTAATTGAGTGCAAGAGCTCTCTCCACTAGAAGGCTGTCATATGCACCTAGTTCACTGCCCAGTTGGTACAGTGTGAGAGTTCTTACACTCTTAAAAATAAAGGTGCTTCACGATGCCATAAAATAACCTTTTTGTCTAAATGGTTCCATAAAGAACCTTTAACATCTGAAGAACCTTTCTGCTTCACAAAAGGTTCATTGTGGCGAAAGAAGGTTCTTCAGATTATAAAAAGGTAAGAAATTGATGGTTCTTTAAAGAACCTGACTGAATGGTTCTTCTATGGCATCGCTGTAGAGAACCTTTTAAGCACCTTTATTTTTAAGTGTACTGGGCTAGGTGCAGTTACTTGTGTCTCATTGTATGCATATGATGAGATGGTTGAGACCTTACCGTTCTGTCAGAGCCCTTCCTGGAACCTATCTGTGGTCCTAGAAGGCTTTAACAGGGCCTCACTCTGGACTATAAGTAGTGTGGATTGACTCTGCCTCTAGGAGATGGACTTCTAGACTCTACTCTACTAGAAGAACTAGTTAAGTTTCCTCTTAGGCACTGCTTAAAGGAACTTCTTTGGAGGACATCTGTGTGGCAGCAGTCAGGTCCTCTCTGTACACTTTTGACAAATTTTACTATTTGGATATGGATTTGACTCCAGGCTCTTCTGTTTAAACTGTTGTCATTTTCATGTTTCACAGCAGCCTGTGCTAAGTTACAGGCTAGCTAAATGGCAGTCTCTCATAGCATGGCACTTTGCTATAAGGTTCCCATAGCATCAGATACTGACGGAGAGTGAACCTATGAAAGGGAAAGTCTTGCCATACCCTTCATTTCAGCTGAGCTTTTTTCACAGAAATCTGGTTGGTGTTTAAAGCTGCTTTTGATTTTCATCCGTGACTCATTAAAGTGCAGTGTTCAGACCTAGTAAAGACTTGATGTAATTTTATTTTAGACATTTTTAGATTATTAATAGTTCAATTCAAGTTTATTCGTATACTGCTTTTCACAATGCAAATTGTTGCAAAGCAGCTTTACAGAAAATTAAATGTCAACGATGTCTTCACCCTCATATTTTCAGTACCATAATGAGAAAAATCACATTTTCATTATAATAATACAACATTTCAGTTGTACACTGCCTAAAAATCATGGAATGTAATTTACTGGTCTATTGAGTCTATTTTGTCTCACTGCACTGACAGTAATGTGATATCAATACAACCCAGAAGTACTGATAAACTGAAACAGACTTGTGGGTAGGGAAGGTAACATTTGGTGGAGCTTGAGCTGCCAAAGGGGGGATTCATGTTACGAAATTCAAGGGTTAGTTTACTTTACCCTGCACAATGAATGATTATTCTTGCCACTGGCCAAAGGCTTCCACTTGGTTTTGGTTTAGGCGAATAAACTCTCATGATTTGTCATTAACTCCACAGTGGCAACAGTGAGAATTTGAGTTTGAGAAGTCTGTTTTACATAATTCAAATACATTTATAACTGGCGTAAGTGTCAATTAATTGAATATATAGCCCCAAACTGCACATTTTGTGTGTTCTCCTTATTGCACACACACATTCGGGTTGCAGTCTCTACTGATGAGTTGAATCAGGTGAGATGGAAGAGAGAGACACAAATTATGCAAAGATCTCCAGGACAGATTTGAGAAGCACTTTCTGCTCGTGCTAAAGAGCGCCCCATCAGGTGATGCAGACTGTCTACTTTTGTTAATACGACAGGTGAGAAGAAAAGAAAGAAAAGTCCAAAGGACCTTAACACAAGTTGAGTGGATTAAATGCAAGAGATCTAGGCAGATAAAACTACATCAGGCAAACAGGTTTTAGTCAAATTGAGAGTGAAAGTAATAACTGAAAAGTATGATTTTCAGATGCATGGTGAACAGAGTTTGATGACAGTGACAGCTTTGTGATCTGACGGATGGCTCTCAAAAAAATTTAACTATTTAACTCTGGTTTATTGCAATAACATTTATAGTAAAAATATTTTTTATACATTTTGTACACAATGTTGCCTTAGACCTTTACTTTTGGAAAGGCATGAACAAAAAATTAAACCATAAAGTAAATGGAGGCTGTACACAGATGTTTAAAAATATTTAACTTCATGTGATTTTCGGGTCCGCGTGCATGTAGACCATCCACACCACGACCTGACCCTCATCAGCTGCTGCCATCCTATAACATTCTCTCAGATCTTCTCACTGAGCTTCAAGCCTGGTTGAGCACTTCCACTGTGGTTTTGGGCAGGATCACTCGTTCAGGGAAAGGATAATGTCATCTTCCAGGTCTGAGTTATCAGAGCTGTCTGCTACGGGAATAAGAGAACAACATTTCAGACAGCACAGGCGAAAAACTGACAGTAATGAAAGAATAGGAAGAAAAAGAACATGCAAGAAATGACATGGCGGGGAAAGACATCATAAACATTTAGTCACAGCCAATAGCAAACAGCTGCTTTAACTGTATAACCTGTCAATGTCAAAGTCTGCTCTCATAATCGATTAGAATCGGTGTCTGTCATCACCTGCTAGAGGCCAAAAGTGAAGAATGAATATGCTCTCGCTAGCACTGTACTCAGCTGCTTCATCAGGCCAGATAAACCACAAAACTAAACATTTTCAGCATTCACAGGACTCCCACACGCCGAGCGTTTAGCATACGCTGCAGCTGTCAGCAACAGTAGCTGTCAATACTACTCATTGACCAATACATCACATGCAACTTTTTTAATCATCAGCAAAAACGATACGTTTTTCTGTTTGGATGATTAAGGTGTGGTCACATTAGCGAAAGTTCACATGCAAACAGGCCCATCGTTCATAGTCACTAGCGCTGAGGTGTATACAGAGCAGCTCACACAGAAGTCAGTTTCATCCCAGACAGCTTTTCTGCGTTTTCTCCCTCGCACACAATCTTCCGATCTGATCGCACAAATTTCCATCGGAATGACTTCATTTAGTTCATGAATTTTACAGAGCAATGGTATGTGAGACCGCAATTTTATTTTGATGCCACTGAGGATCGTTGCGGAGAAACCCTGGAAGTTCATCTACCTTTCAAGCTCCCTTTCTACCTCTCCATTAGTTTACTGTCTTTTTAACTCTTTCCCCGCCATTGATGTAATTTTTTCGGTCACATTATATGGTAGGGGGCGCTATTACACACCTTCTGAAAGAGTTCTGAATCCAATCCAGACTTAGTCTGACTAAAAAGCTATTTTCTCAGCTTTTTGTTCAAAATATTACTTTTTTTTATGAAACTTAACCACATTCAAGTGTTGATAAAAAAAAAATGTTTTTTAATATATACAGTGGTGTGAAAAAGTGTTGGCCCCCTTCCTGTTTTTAAATTTTTTTGCATATGTCACACTTAAAAGATTCAGATCATCAAACACATTTTAATATTAGACAAAGATAATGCAAGTAAATACAAAATGCAGTTTTTAAATGATTATTTGTTTTATTAAGGGAAAAAAGCTGTCCAAACCTGCCTGGCCCTATGTGAAAAAGTAATTGCCCCCGAAATCTAATAGTGCCATGCTTTGCAGCAACAACTGCAATCAAGTGTTTGCGATAACTGGCAATGAGTCTTTCACATCGCTGTGGAGGAATTTTGGCCCACTCTTCTTTGCAGAATTGTTTTAATTCAGCCACATTGGAGGGTTTTCGAGCATGAATGGACTGTTTAAGCATCTCAATCGGATTTAAGTCCGGACTTTGACTTGGCCACTCCAAAACCTTAATTTAGTTTTTCTTGAGCCATTCAGAGGTGGACTTGCTGGTGTGTTTGGGATCATTGTCCTGCTACATAACCCAAGTGCGCTTGAGCTTGAGCTCACAAACTGATGGCCGGAGAGTCTCCTTCAGGATTTTCTGATAGAGTGCAGAATTAATGCTTCCATCAATTATGGCAAGTCATCCAGGTCCTGAAGGTGCAAAGCAGCCCCAGACCATCACACTACCACCACCATGTCTGACTGTTTCATTCTTTGGTGCATGTTCAGACATTCATACAACAAAATATTCTGTGGGCCATGAGTTTTGTGAAAATGATAAAAAATGCTGGTGGCAACTTTTCTCAAAAAATACTGGCGGGGCTAGAGTTAACTGTCCTGTTTAATAATAAAAAGCAAGCCTTATAATATACTATCTGTATTAGGGCTGTCAAAATTTTTTTTTTAATATTCGTTGAATTTAAAATAAAAATCCACATTCGAATGCAAAAACATTGCATTCGAATTTTAGGTGTGCGTCAGGCAGCCTTATCAGCGGTGCACGAGATGCGATGACGATCTAAGTGTCGTTGCATTATAATGTTTTTGTTAGCCTATCCAGCTGAAGCCACTAGATGCGGCACTGCTGCATTGTTCATTAAAAATATTGCGGGAAAAGATAACAATCGATGCGGGGAAGATGTTGTTTACATCAAAACCAAAACGTTCACACAGAACACATATTTATCGCATTTTCTAGAGGGACATCTATCACCGTTGCACTTGCGTCTCGCACAAGAGAGACACTTACAATTAATGCAAGTTCAACTTTTAAAAAAACATGTCTCAAGACTTTATGGCGGTTTTCCCCATCCCACGGTATCTCATGTTTTTAAATGAAGAAAGTACTCTTTGTGATTGTCTTTCAGTCCTTTGTATTAAACTATACATACATGCATGATGCTGTTTTGTTTCTAATTGTTTAAGCAACTTTAGTTATATAAGGTTTATAAACATTATTTTAAACATTATGCACTTTTTTCAAAAATAGTCGTGTTATTTTATTATGCTTTGAAGAAACGTGCATTAGTAATATTTTGCTCGATGCGCCCTCTTGTGGCCTCAGGAGAGAAGCCAAAAGCTTTTTTCCCCCCTAACTGAAATTATGCCTTTTAAATTCAAATATTGATCATATTTAAGTACAAAATTCAAATTTAGTTTTTCAGCCATTTTTGACAGCCCTAATCTGTATACAATAATTATGCAGTTATGTCATTTAAACAAGCCTTTGAATGAATTACATTTAATGGACATGCCCGAGAGAGCATCTTTAAATCCTGTATATTCAAACTGGTCATGTCATATTTACGTCATAGTTCACCGTGTACTGTATATATTATTAGTGTTAGCAGGTCTTCATTTGAGAAAATGTGATTTCCAGTGACTTGCTGGATTTTTATTATTACTTTTTTGGTTTATCTAGTTCAAATGTTTTTATTGAATCATTTCTAAATTAAAGTCACAACCAGCTGTGTATTACAAGTTACTGGTGCTAAATTCCATATTGATGCATACATAATATTAACACCACTAGTAATTCTTAATAATAATAATAATTTATAATTTCGAAATACATTTGCTTACTATAGCATGACCTGAAGTAGGCAGCAGGGAACTCTCACTTCTCTCACTCCAAGATGCCAAACATATCTCATTAACAAGTCTAAGCATGAAAAGTTTCTCCAGTATGGTTTGTTATTTTTCATTTAACACATCTTGAGCTCACATGCTTGTGATATAAAAATGAAACCTTTGGGTGGCTTTTCTCCAGTGAGAAGGGAGTAGCTCCTCTATGTATATGTGTGCATGTCGTCAAACAACTCACTGCTGTCTAGTACAAGCTCCACATCTCGCTCATTGTCATCAGAATCCTCATCGTCATCGTCGTCATCATCATCTGCCTCTTCGTCCAGCAGGCGAGCCACTTCCTCATCATCAGACGGAGAGAAATCCTGCTCGCCATCCTCCTCTCCGTTGTTCTCGTTCTCCAGCTCTGCCAGCAGCGGGTCTGTATCGATGTCATCTATGTCATCATCCGAGTCATCGTCGTCCTCTTCATCCTGATCATCCTCCTCCTGAACGAAACAAACGTCTCATGATCAAGTTTACAGTGCCCAGCCTCACTGACGTATGAGGAGAAGAATAGATACTCATTACTCGGTGGCTAGCTCTGTGTAGCACCTGCTGCTTTACATGACCTCCCGAACAATCCCAGTGTCACAAGTAACAGCTTAAGCCATTCATGTTTAACATGGTCCCCATCATTTCAGTCAGATCTTAATAGCTCGAGGTTTTTTTTTTTTTTTTGGTAGACACTGCAAATTTTCATTTTAAATTCTCTCAAAAGAATGGTCACAAACGAAAATGAATATTAGTATAAAAACACTTGGCATAAGTTTGTTTTTTTCACTGGACACTTAGTTCTCTTTGTATAACTTGAGCTGAATGATGTTGCCTTCTGTAGAGATGCTTTATAGCTGAATTGTTTGTTTCATAACTGATTTAATGAATTAATATAAATCAGTACTGAAATGCCACTGCCTTAAAGCTGAAATGTAATGTTTCAAAATTAATGAGCTGTTCAGCATTTATTACTGTGAAGCTGCTTTGAACTGATCTGCACTCTATAAAAGTATATTCAAATATATAAATAAATGTGACTTGAAGATTTTTGTTCATTTATTGACAAGAGATGGTAACCACTTTGGCACTTCTGTAAAACCTGAACCCTATTTTTTTAAACCTATATATTATTTTTCATGACTAAGAACAGCATTGGTAGCAAAGGTCAGTATATTCTCTTGTTACATGTATCAGAACATGAGTCCTAGAACTATTTAAGCTACACTGAACTGACTGGTCATAAGCTTCCACAGCTAACAGTTCAAATAGTTTTGATATCACACAATAAAGGAGTTAATAATTCAGTAAATTATGCCAGCCGTGTGATAGGTGTCTGCTACAATCACAGAAATGGCTAGAACTGAGAATTCCCAGAATGGCTCATTGTTGCAAAACTTCCCCCATACACACACAGAGCTTAAATGTATATACACTGTGTGCACAATTATTAGGCAAGTGATGATTTTGACCATATCATCATTTTATCCATAATTTCCAAGTCCAAGCTGTATAAACTTGAATGCTTATTGGATTTAATGCATATCAGGTGATGTGTATTTGTGTAACGAGGGAGGGTGTGGCCTAAGGAGATCAACACCCTATATCAAGGTGTGCATAATTATTAGGCAGATTCTTCTCCTCAGGAAAAATGGGCCAAAAAAGAGATTTAACTGACTCTGAAAAGTCAAAAATTGTAAAAAGTCTTTCACAGGGATGCAGCACTCTTGAAATATCAATTTATGCAAACATGAATGCTGTTTGCATCAGTCTCACCTGATCCTCCTCATCCTCTTCCTCCTCAGCAAGTCTCTGGCGACCGACTTCATACAGCCGACACACAGTGTCCATATTTATTGAGTCCTGATTCTGTTACACACATTCACATACAACACCACACAGAGTTTTGATGTCATACAAAGTTTAATGATATGTAGAATTGTAGCTTCATAGAATTTTGCTCTGTAAAGATCATTTTGTTCACTGATGTTGAACTTAAGAAAAAAAGAATCTCAAATTTAAAAAGTACAATGTCCTTGAGTTGAGGTAATATTGACCTAACTATATAGACAGTAAATAACTACATTAACTTAAAAAAGTGCAGCATACCTCAATGACAGCCAGATAGCAGTCTTTAGTGTCTGTGCACAGGTCAAAAATGTTCCTCTTCACATCAATGGTGGCTGAGAAAGCAAGCAGACCATCATCAAGATCTTCATCAGCTTAGAAACATATTTACAGAAACAATTTCGGTCAAGTGATGTCTTTGGACAGCATTGTGACGTGCTACTAATCAAACCATTTTAAAATGTGTCTCTCAGTTGTGTTACAGTAACAAGTGCATATGTGACCCTGGAGCACAAAACCAGTCATAAGTGTCCATTTTTCGAAATTTATATTTATACATCATATCAAAGCTGAATAAACAAGCTTTCCATTGATGTATGGGTTGTTAGGATAGGACAATATTTGGCTGAGATACAACTATTTGAAAATCTGGAATCTGAGGGAGACAAAAATCTAAATATTGAGAAAATCATCTTTAAAGTTGTCCAAATGAAGTTCTTAGCAATGCATATTACTAATCAAACATTAAGTTTTTATATATTTACGGTAGGAAATTTACAAAATATCTTCATGGAACATGATCTTTACTTAATATCCTAATGATTTTTGGCATAAAAGAAAAATCTATAATTTTGACCCATACAATGTATTTTTGGCTATTGCTACGAATATCCCCCAGCGACTTAAGACTGCTTTTGTGCTCCAGGGTCACATATCTTACAGGAAGCATCTAACTGCTTATTTGCTTTTAACAAAAGCTGAACAGAGAGAATGAAGATAGAACTACAGTCATACCGATGGGTTTATAATCAGTGGCATCAAAGGTCCTGAAGGATGAACCGAATGGACTCTTCATTTGCTGCTCCATCACATCATCCTCATCATCAGCCTGCAACATGGCTACAACACACTCCAGAACATCAATACAATATCTAATACCTCCTGTCTAAGACAGAACTGTTTAACCAACAAGTATCATCTCTGGAGGAAACAGGTCACTGCTCATCCCCATCCAATGGTGAAGAACTGTGATGCATCATGTTGTGGGGTGTTTTTTAGTGGCAGGGACTGGGGCATTGGTCATCACAGAAGGAAGCCGAACACAGCAAATTACAAAGATATTCCTAATGAAAAGTTAATATGGATTTCTCAGACTGGGCTGAAGGTTCACCTTCCAACAGAACAATCACCCTAAAATAGCCAAGACAATACAGGAGGACCGTGAATGTCATTGAGTGGCCCAGCCAGAGCCCAGATCGAACCAAAACAAACATCTCTAGAAAGTTCTGAAAATGTCCACAGACTGTCCCACCCAACCTGACAAGGGTTTGAGACGATCTGCAGAGACCGATGGCAGAAACATCCCCAAATCAAAGATTGCAAAAGAAGCTCACAAATAATCGAGGCTGCCAAAAGTGCTTCAACAGAGTACTGAATTAATATTTTTTTTTGCAAAGTTATCACAAGTTTTTGCTTTGTCTTTATGGAGCATGGAGTGTAGATTGATGTAATTTAAATTAATGTAAAGCATAATAGCATAAACAAAATGAGAGAATAAAAAGGAAGTGACGTGAATGTACTGTGTGTGCGTCTCACCTCCATAAATGACAGTTCCATTGTTGTTGAAGACAATCCGACACTGATCTAGCGCTGGTACTGTGTGAAGAAGATGAAACGTCCTCAAATCCCACTGGAGCGCGAGTTAAAGCAAACCGCTTCAGAAACAATGCAGCAAGAAGAGGTTCAACCTTTAAGCATCCCATGTATCCCAGTAACACTTCTCCAGATCGATAGCACCCTTTTTCTACATTAATCAGCATTAAATAACCCACTAGTTAACTAAAACCTCATTAACAACAACAGAAGAATCAGAAAACAAACTACAATATCATAAAACACACAGAAAAACAAGCCACACCCAGTGGTTCGCTGAGCAGAAAAGGATACAATCTCCGTGTTGATGATGACCTCTAAACCATTGGGATGGAAAACGCCGCTGATGTTCATGTTGAACTTGTCAAACTTATGGATGGCCTGAGCGGTGCGGACGTCCCACATGACACCGTCGTTCAGGACCAGGTCATCCGTGGGGTTAAACGTGGCACAGTTGCGCTTGTAGTTGTTGGCTAGGTCAGGGTTATTGAGGGTCAGGAGTTTCTGTCCAGACTGAATGTCATATATCTGCAGAAATACACAAAGATGCATGAAAAAGACGTTCACAGACTGGATTCCCAATATATTTTGATCACATATTGCAGTCATAAAGTTACATATACCATGCAGAATGTTAATAATTTTAACAAAAAAAAGTATCAGAAAAATTGCATGCTTCGTGTTATTTAACATGTTTATATGCAGAGGGTCAGCGTGTTAAAACCAGTGTCTTAATTTACGAATGAAAAACAACAGAAACACAATGAAAGGCGAGTGTTCAAATGGTTAAAAAGGTGACTTGCATGTGCAATGTGCTCTTTTGTTCCTATGACTCTGTCCTGAGAGAGTTTGCTGAACTCCACATAATGATCATCCAGGAATGAATGCCTAGAAATAAAGGAGTTTGATTCAAAAAAATGAAAAATAATCATTTGAGTTTTTAACAATTAGTGAACAGTTTGTAGGCGTGCTGACTCACTTCATGATGAATACTGACTTCATTCCCCACAGCGCAGATAGGGGATAACTCCAGGAAGCTGATGTCAACAACAGGGAACCGTCCTGACACAGAGAGACAAAACATCAGCATCTACCATAAATGCATTTACACAGCAATTACAGGAGCTGAGGTGGGTCAGAGCAGCTATCGAATATATAGAATTACATCTTCACAATCAGTTACAACACCACCATTAGATGTGCATGAATCACTTAAACTGCCAAAGCATTCAATGCATCAAACTCTGCCTTACTGTACCACGGAAACCAAATACCATTATAGACTGCAATTACAGGCCTACTATAAAATCGTGAAATTCACATGCAATCTCTGGCAGAATCAGGGCACTTTATAAGAGGTGTAAAAGCACAACTAAAAGCATGTTGCTCTATTAGGGTATGGGGGTAGAATTGTTGCATTATTCCAAATAAATAGATTATGATCCACAAATAAATGTAAAGCCATTAACAAACCAAACATATTCACAAAATAAATAGAATGAGATCCACAAATAAATCTCAGTTTCACAAAGATGAATTAAATTCACAAATAAAACGAGACTTGCAAATAAAAAAATATATTCGCAAGTATCTTTTTATTCTACAAACACAACTTTGCCCGGCATTCATTTGTGAATCGCGTCCTGGGCATATGTAGATCGCTGCACGCATTTGTGGATTGTCAGCATCTTGAAGCTAGAAATGTTTCAAAATCCACAAATGCGTGCAGCGATCTACAAATGCCCAGGACGCGATTCACAAATGAGTGCCAGGCAAAGTTGTGTTTTTGACAATGTATTTTTGAATGTTTTTTTATTTGCAAATCTCATTTGTGACCCTGGAGCACAAAAGCAGTCATAAGTCGCTGGGGTATATTTGTAGCAATAGCCAACAATACATTGTATGGGTCAAAATTATAGATTTTTCTTTTATGCCAAAAATCATTAGGATATTAAGTAAAGATCATGTTCCATGAAGATATTTTGTAAATTTCCTACTGTAAATATATCACAACTTAATTTTTGATTAGTAATATGCATGGCTAAAAACTTCATTTGGACAACTTTAAAGGTGATTTTCTCAATATTTAGATTTTTTTGCACCCTCAGATTCCAGATTTTCAAATAGTTGTATCTCGGCCAAATATTGTCCATACATCAATGGAAAGCTTATTTATTCAGCTTTCATGCTGAATAAATAAGTGTCAATTTTGAAAAATTGACACTTAAGACTGGTTTTGTGGTCCAGGGTCACATTTTATTTATTTGTGAATTTAATTAATGTTTGTGAAACTGAGATTTATTTGTGGATCTCATTCTATTTATTTGTCAACATGTTTAACTTTTTGTAAATCTCTTTACATTTATTTGTGGATCATAATCTATTTATTTGGAATAATGCAACAATTCTACCCCCATACTAGTGTCCTGGGCCGAGAAAGTTCAAGAGTTCAAGGACTCCGTGTGTGTTTACTCTGGAGGGCTCCAGGTGTGTGATGGCTGAGCTGTGGCAGCTGTAGTTGGCTTCCTCCTGTCCACTGAACACATTGTAGAGTTTGAGCTGTCCGGTGCATGTGCCCAACATCAGGAAACGCTCTCGCGCGGAGAACGCACAACACATGAAGCCACTCTCATCCTCCTCAGCCTCCCTGAACACAGAGATGGGCCGAAACCTGCACACATGGTCACAAACAGCACTCGATTAGCAAGATGAAACTCAAGATGGGGAAAAATTACTTGGTAACTCATTAACAAACAACGCATATAGGACAGTTCTGTTCTTGGCTACTGACTTGTTAGTGTTACTGTCACAACTGGGCACTAACTCATATTTTCACATCTGATCAAAGCATATCATGTTTGAACTCACAGTTCTGTGTAACTGTACCTGCTGAAGATGAGATGCCTGTCAAAGCAGCCTCCATCAACCCCACCATATTTGGGGTAGACGACCCTGCGTGTGTGGCGAGGAGTGAAATTGGTGGGTGCCTGGCGTCTCTGCTTGGGCTCTGGGCACTGATGCGGTGTGAAGAGGCTGAAGGGAGGACATGTGGTCACTGGGTTCTTGCAGCGGGCGTGCTGCTCTCGTAAATACTCTGTTATGATACTGGAAACAACAACATATGATACATGTATGTATGATACATTAGAAGGACTTCAGAAGGATATGGAAAGCAGCAAGTGCTACAAAAGCCAGGAACCACACATGGTTTGTCAGATCATTTTACACATTGCTTCTAGTGTTCTGGAATAGTAGTGCCTATACTACTTTACTGTGACTATCCATGTCAAGTGTTTGATCATCTAACAGTTCCTGACGCATTTTCATTCAAGATCAACAAATTATACTGTATAGAGTCACTGTTCAGGAACATGATAAGCTGATAAGAAAAAAAAAACTGGTTAGTTTAAAAAAAATAAAATAATTAATAAGTTTATTCCACATAATTATTACGTGTGAAAACCATTTACCACACTTGATGTGCTCAATGCATGCATGTTAATCAATGTTTATAAAATAATAAAAGCCTAAATTAAATCTGCTCCTCATATGAACTGATCTTGTTGGTTTTTTCAGAAGACCTGGATTAAACAATGCGATTCATATGGGTTACTTTTACAATGTTTTTATGAACTTTTTGGTTGCATGGACTTTCAATGGAGGGACAGTGATGCGAGAATATTAAAAATAACAATGTGTGCTTTAAAGAAAATAACTAACACTTTTCATTTTTGGGTGAACAGTGAACATTAAGCAGTTAGTGTTTTTCTTTACTAAGACACATTAGATGAAGCATTTAAAGAATCCTATAAATGCATTTAATGAAACCTTTTGTTTAAGACTAATAGCATCTATATATTTCAAGTTTCTGATTACCTACAAAGGCAGTCATGTGTTGCATAAACTTGTTCCCTCCCTCTTTTTTTTTTTTTGCACCAATGAGGAACTTTCTAGTCCACAAAGTTACAGCATGCTTTCGCAGTACAATGCAGATATCATTAAATGGGCATAAAAAAAGAACAGCATAATGGGTATAAACCCAGTCAGAATGAAGGGCAGCACACCTGTCTAGAGTAGGAGGAGAGGGCAGATGTCTGTCCAGCTGCTTTTTCATGGCCGGACTCTGGCTGAACGCACCATGATCTGATTTCTGCCTCAGTACTTTTGGCCTCTTCCCTCCCGCAGCTGCACACGGTGACAGCCGCTCCCGCGAGAACACGATGCGTCCGATGAGCGGAGAGCCATTACTGTGGAGGGAGACTGCAGGCGGTGGAGGGGGCGGAGCCTGTGAGGTGGAGGGGCGGGGCTGGTGATGAGGAAGCGCGTGGGGGGTGTGGCCACCCAGACGGGCCGCGACTCCGTTAGTGAGCCGAGGAGTCCGTGGGATGCCAGCGGCAGGAGGCGGCGGCGTCGCGACAGAAACGGGAGTGAACGGCTGCACGCTAGCGTGAGCCAGAGCATGCAGCCCCATGGGCAGCTCGGCTTCTTTCGTCAGTGCTGTCGCTGTGTCTGTGAGACCTTTAGACATAAGATGATTCCGAATAAGCAACAGAAGCTCCTTCTCGGGAAACGAAATGCGTGACTGTGCCACGACACTAGCCCGCTGCAGCCGCGCCAAGGAAACATCTGTGCCGATCAGCAGCGGCTTTCCAGACACTCGCTCTATGAGTTCTGCTGCATACTTGCAGAAGCGCACATGCTCGCTGCGCTTGTCCTGAAGCACAGGCTCTTTCATCAGCTGCTGGATCTGTCCGCTGCTGAACAGCGGAAGCTTGCTGATGATCTGTCGCACCGCGGCGCTACGTGCCAACCCAACTAGGGCTTTGCACGCCAGAGCGCGAATCTGATCGGCATCGGTGATGGGCATCTTGATGGTGAGCAGGGACAGCAGGACTTTAATGCCATTGTTCGACTGAACCACGTTCCACATCTTGACCAGGACGCTCTCGCTGGCACGGTGGGTCTGCGGCAGACGGCGACGCGGGGTGCCCGAGATGAACTTGCCGATGCTAGAGACGCGTTTGTCTGGAGCGCAGACGCAGTTTATGATCACCTGCAGGGCCGACTTCTGGATTTCTGCGTCATTTACAAATACTTCACCCTCTGCGACGACCAGCACTATGCTCATACCTGCAGAACACAAGCATGCGCTTATAGAATGTATCTGCAGAGGATTCAAACAACCTTAAAGTGATGCATGCATCTCACATTGCTATTTAATTGAACAGACTGGAGCACACATTCAACTGCTAATCAGGGTAAAATGAATGAACGAATGTGTTAAATTACATTCTTAGTCGTTCCTTCATGTTAAGGCACAGACAGAAGCTACGAGAGCTTGTGTTGAATTAAGTGCCAGATACAGTGTAATCAATATACCAAAAGATTGCATGCATAATGTGGGACTTCAAATGCCAATAAACTAGACGATCTTATTCAGGGAGATCATTAACATGTTAAGGTTAAACTAACTCTGGCTATATATTTCAGTGCATAATGGTGCATGAAGATAGGCCTGTTTAGGTGGAAGCACCTATGTCCACGTGTTTTGGACCTCATCACCAGAACAGCAGATTCTCACCAACAGTGGAGATGGTGGAGCCATTCTCATCCAGCACAGCGACGTTCTCCGACAACAGCAGCTGCGTTTTAGGAATCACTGTCAAAATGCTCAAGATATCCAAAGCGTACCTCACCGTGTCAGCCCTGAAACACACGTTACCCAAAAAAAAAAGTGTACTTAGTACTTTTTCCCCTTCACTGCAAAATGTTTTACACAAAAAAGTGGTTAAAATCACATACACGTTGTTCATGGGCAGCCAATAAAGACCATAGGCAGGCATTATGCAAATTTCAAATAAGCCTATATAGGAATTACTGACAACTCCTTTTTTTTTTTTAGGCAGGTCAGAATAG